TATCTACTTGAATTCTGCACATGCTTCTTGACGAATAAACACTTTTATTCATACTCGACATCAGCATTTTCATAGTTTCTTTGAAGTAAAGCAGAACTAGGATATTATTCAATAAACAGAACAAAAATACAGTATATGTAATTGAATTCAATTCATATCAACATTAAATTCATAGAACACTTCTATCATTAAGCAAACACGGATCAGAACGTGCATGGCAACGCCAAAAACTGATGCCATCCACAAAAAAAAAAAAAAAAAAAAAAAAAAAAAAAAAAAAGATACATAAAACTTGCGTCATTAAAACATTAATAGTCTCGTGTTCGTTCAATAAAGCTATTCATGAAACTGTCTCGTGGATATCTTCCGAAGTTTATTGACGGCATTACGTAACATCCTCCCACCTTGATTTGCCACCTTCGAGGTAAATCAACAAAGTTCGAAAGTCAATAGCATTAGCCCTCTCTAGTGATATCTTGATTAGGATGTTTGATCTGGTATAATGGGATCCCCAGAAGAAATAACTTTTATAGGGTAAATCTTTTGGACTGGACGAACGAGATGACCAAGTGGAGTTTTGACTTTGACGACTCTCACATGGCCGTCTCTCCCTGGATACAGTTCTTCAATCACTGCAAGTGGCCAATTAAGTCTCTTCTGGTTTTCAGAACCAACAAGGACCACTTCTCTAACTTTGAAAATTTTGTCAGATATGCCAGCTTTTTGCACCAACTGACCTAAGTATTCTTTCCGGAATTGTCGTTTGCAAAAATCAACGTCGTCAAAAATTAGCAACATTTTGAAAGTTCTTGTAGTCTCAAGGTCTGATAGATATCACGTATAAGTGAAACTAGAAATTTTTTGTATTCCTTCCTCCTTCATTAACCAATGCAAGGAAGTGTAGAAGTGAGCAGGGCATAGTGAGTGACAGAATCAGTCTCTCGTGCGAGGGAAGTGCGTCTACTAACATCTTATTTTACAGCCTGAAATCAGTTATTTTCAACGAACGTTTTGCCATTGGAGTTCCTTACAGATATGATGAGTTTCAAAGCGAATAGTAGAGGGTTTATTTCTGTTTATCCTCGGAAAAGTGGTCAGCGGCGTCTTTGATTTTGAAGTTATTTACTTGTGGTGTCTTTGCGCTATTTCAGTATTTTTTAATTTTATATAATTTAAGCACTTATCTAGCACCAGCACTAGAAGCACTTATCAATGTGTTAGACAGAAATGTTCAAATTACTTTCTTCGCGGATTACTGAATATTTCATAGAGCGTGCCTTGTATGCATATACTGCTTTTGATACTAAGAGACTCATATATTCCGCTAATTATTCACAGCTCACTCTAAATGCAACAATATATTGATGAGAGAAAGTATAGTAAGATCACATATATTAATTTTTTTCCTGAAGAAAATAGGAAAACGCGAAATGAATAGAGAAATAGAAAACTAGTTATAACAAATTTGGTATCAGCACGCTAATGAAACAATCCAGAGCAAACCAAACACCATTAGTATTGTGTTAGTTTTAGTGACGAAAGTCGATTTTGAGAATTCGAAGATGTTTCAGAAATCGAGCTAAACATTATGGAGCGAAACGGTCTTATCTGGATCGTAAAGAATCCTAAAGCCTATTATTATGGGTAAGCTAATTTTTCATGGTACTTGGAATGAAAAGAAGATTGAGGTCATCAAGTAATTAAAATAAATTTACAAAAAGGGCATGTCATGAGAAAAACGTATATCCATTTGGGAAGGAGCAGCAACTTAACAGGCTAGTGACACATATTTTAGCAATAATTGACATAATTCATAGACGAAGAAAGGCGATGCGTAGTTTTTTTTTTTTTTTTTTTTTTTTTTTAACATTTGATGTATTTACCTTGGTCCAGATTTATGGCTTACATTTTAATTTCAAATAGATAGCTTAAATGTTAACATTCTTCTCTAACCGAATAACTTTCTAGTCATGAATTTCATTTAAACTATTTACATTATTATCGTAAGGATTAAAAGATCGCTTTCAAACCACCAGCCAGTGAAAGATTCGTTGACTGAAATGCGATAATAGATACTGACAATAAAATATTAAATTACGCAGTGACAAAGTAATCACGGGCTATCTGCCGCCGTAGGAACGTCTAGAAGAAGGAGTTTCTAAGGATTTGTACTCGTGTTACACATGGGTAAAGCAGCAAAATCTTCATGAAACAAGACCGCTTTCTTGATAACAAGAAAAACCGGGACGCATAATCTGTGGCTCAGTACTGTCTTACCATACGGCCATTGGTGGGCGGATTTACGCAGAAAACCGATTTATTGTACGCATGAAAGAATTGATTAAAGTAACGAAACCAAAGCCAGCTTACCGCGATTTTAAAGGATAAAAATTGGCCTATTTTCCATATAATTTTTCCTGGAGATTTATATTTGAAATGTAAAAGTTTTCCTTCCTTTTCCTTTAAGAGCAAAATTTGATATTGCTCACGAACAGCATTTGCTGTAATAATTCACATATTCCAGCACTTCTAAAAACTGAGTTTCCAGCTTTTTCGAGAACACTAGAGGACTATAAAAAACAGGAAATCGGGAAAATGCCTATCTAAATAATGGATAAATTTTGATTAATGTATTTTTAATTCACATTTCAATTGCAGCAAATGTAAAAAATGCATTACATGTTACTCGGGGATCCGTGCTAAAGCTATATACACCGAAGTGCTAAAGATGCTGGTACAGATGAGTCTACGCAGAACACAGAGTAACGTTACCTAAGGACATCACCGTTTGCGCCACTGTGAATATTAATTGATAGACCTCTGTGGAAGCTTCTAGAGCTTCTTCGTCTGAAAATGATACGTTTTACGATTTAATCCATTTTAATGCTGTCTAATTGTTGAAACTCATGTGATGGTTCATAAACTTTCGAAGATACAGGCAAAAATCGAATTTTCTCGTATATCTATTTTAAAAGCATACCACAACTGCATGATTTCTAGCAAAATTTTGAGTATACGAGATGAAAAGATACCGGAAGAATATGACCAGTGTAAGCTGGCATTTCACGCGGTAATGGTATAAAAGTCTCTCAAGTAACATTTGAATTCAGTGCTGGGGATTGGAAAAACTGTGAAACGCGTGAGTAACTGTGGAATGGTTTCATGAACATGTGGGATTCATGAGTCGACATACAACCAGAATCCCAGGTGAATGCAGGACTAAAACTACGCACCTCTCCTCGAGTTGACAATTCGGATACTGGCCACTTGGTACTGGAAGCTAGTAACACAGTCTGACCAGTCACGTTTCGAACGGTTTTGGCCAGTATCTGCGAGTTCAGAAATCGCATGAATCCGTAAATACCACATAAGTAGAAGAATATAAAAGCTGCCTTAGCTCTGTAATAACATGGAATTTAGCTGTAATTCAGTGGGACGCCTGGTACCTCTATGTTTATGTAGTCTTTGATAAATGAACGCTGTGTGCGTTTCTTGCGGTCGCTGGATGCGAGGTGTACGGTGGGATTTCACGATGCGCCTTAACAGTTATATTCTAGATCCTTTGAAAAGCTCCAGATACTCATCTCCTCAACGGTACTCGACGTTTCCTTTGTGAACTCTTATAAGGCTTGCAAATTTGAAATTTTTTTGTAAAAGGGCCAATTAGTATGGGAGCATATTATCAGTGGCCCTATGATACATCGATGGCGTACTCCATCCTTTTTACCTGTATTTGAATCTGCGTGTGTTTCTTTCTGTTGAGTTACACCAGTTTAATTCTTGCATTTATTCTTATGGGTTTGGTTTCTAGTAACAGGACAATATCTGCAGATAGAGATGTCAAATTTGGGTTAAAGAAATGTGCATCTCTGCTTAACGTATCATACTTACATGTTATTGAACTCGCCTGGGATGTTATTCACAGCGCTGTGGAAAATAGAAATCCTAGAACTACTATAAAATTATTGATACCACCTGCAGGAAGAATGGTGTTTATTTAATCACAGAATAACCCTGCATAATCTTGAGATGACCTTTTTACAGCAATATTCACCTACTAAGTATGTATTAATAAATATGCTGGTGCAATAGGTTTTTTAATTGGCACTTGTGCATATTTTATAAGCATAAAAAGGCAGTAAGCTAACAAAAATTTATTTTAAAATTAAAAAAAATTTAAAGGGTTTGAAAGAGCAGTTACATATGGACTTTATGGATTCTACTTAAGAAATTGGTCCAAAGAGCAGGTAGTTGAAAAATGAGCTGTCAAAAAGCGAGAAATGCTTATATTACAGTTAATGGAAGTATCGAAAGCTCCACGATAGGATGCAGATACTTCACTTTGCAATGCTTTTAGAAACGAAATTGCATGTAATTGTTTGGTATTCATGGTAGCAGACAGCTTTATAAATTTAAAGCCCAAACATCTGTTGGGTGCTCATCAGCAGCTGATTGCTGGAACTATTCTGTTCTTCGCGAACGAATTGGTTGCATGGAGATTTCGAACTTCCTCCCATGCGTGACGTCAATGCAGTCCGCTTATACGAAGACATTTCTGCTTTGGTAGGTGTATTTTGTTTGCGTTGCTTTGATTGAAATCAATAGACCTACTCAGATCTTTCATGCTTTGATTTATATTAGGCATATTTTAATAGTGCAGTACGTCTTTCGAATTTCGTATCATACGAGGCGTTAATATTTCTCTAATAGAGCTCTGATTCAAAAATTTCGCTGATATAAATCATTGCTATTATTATTTTGAAAAAGCCATACGCCTCATCGCTTGCCGAAAGAACAAAAAGACTTAAATCTCTAACTGACTATTTTTTAGTTTCTCTAACTGACTATTTTTGTTAAAATCTCTAACTGACTATTTTTTAGTTTCTAAACTTATAAATATAGTTTAACAGAAAGCTTCCTGTGTCAGTAAAACTGAGATATGAATATCTGAAGAGAAATTTTGTTCCCAAATAATTAAAAATTTTTTATTTTTATTTTAGGGATGGAATGATGTTAGTTTTCACGGGTCACCGCAGATCCCTACGCCTAATATCGATGCTCTTGCTGCAAGCGGAATTGTGCTCAACAACTATTATACGCATCCACAATGTACTCCATCGAGAGGAGCTCTTTTATCAGGAAAATATGCTAATAGACTTGGTGAGTAAATGATCTTTCCATTAAAGTTATCTAAAACTTGTAATTAACTTATTTCATGCCATACTAATGTGTTGTGACGTTTAATATTCCATAACGTGTAACTGCAGTGCTTGAATTTCGGACGTTTTATGCAACATTAACAAAAAGACTTTTTTTTTTATTAGAGTCATTTTATCTCAGCCTACATGAAAAATTCAAATTATAATTTGAACTTCTTTTCAGATTCGGCAAAGAAGTTAAGCAAAATTTAGACCATATTTAAACACAGAATGTAATTTCAAATTTCTAAAGAATGCAAATTAAAAAAATGGAGCAGATTCAGTTCTACAAGTTTTAAGCAGAGCCTCTTCACTTTACTATGAATCATTTCTTAAAAGTTGCACTGTTTTCTTAAATGAAATAAAACCGTTTGAAAGTAACCGGCTTTGAAAGACTGAAGACTTGGATGTATGTCTATAATGTCCGTAACATTATTATTACCTGTTATAGAAACAGTAAACTTAAAGACTGTTAACTGATGAGTACACGCTCATACGTCTTAACAATGTTGTCATGCTACAACGATGCGATAATTACATCTCAGGTCTTAAAAGCGGAGTGTTGTTCACATATAGAATTGCTGCTTTAAAAATATAGAACTGTTGGATCACGAATCGAACTTGCGAACTTGGTTATGCAATTAGATTATATGAAGTATCGAATATTAATGGATGTTTATGTTTAATCAATTACGGCAGACTACGAAAGTGCTGTCAGCCTGAGGAGCGGGATACCTTCGTGGAGGACTTACTAATAGGAACAATGGGAAACTTAATGAATAAATTCTCTCAAAGTTTGAGGAAAGATAGTGCTGATAAATTAGAAATCCCACTTTTGACAGGCCTGTGGTGCAGTTTATACATTTAAATTATTAAATAGTTAATTCTAACATAGAAATCGACAAAGCATGTGTAGCGATGCAGTTAATTTGCAATTAATATGTGGCATATTATTTGCAGTAAGAACTAAGGTATCTGCCCCCAAAGTAAAGAGAATGATTAAATTTCTTTTTATTGAACATGCATGCAATTACGTCTTATCTTCAAAATAGTTGGCCATTCAATCGAATGTAAGGATTCCAGCATTGCTGCCACTGTTTATAGGCAGTGGAAGAAGTCTTTATTTGATACGCTCACTTTGAAATGTTGTTCAGTTCCAATTTTTCTTTTATTCAGTAGATGGTAAGCTTCTTGATATTCTTTTTTTTTCTTATAAACAGTGATGTGTGATTTGGAGCAAGGTCTTAGTGATACAACTACTTATCTGCAACTTCATGATGACCACTCACAACACCTTTTATTCAAACTTTTTGTTATCTGTAAGTATGTGCGTGTGTACTAGTCACATTGTTCTCATTTCTTGAAACTGAAGAACGCTCTATGTGTTATTCGTATTCAGCATTTTCCCATTCATTTATGTAACCCTTGTGTCACCAGAAGATTTAGGTAGAGAGCAAACTAATATCCTCATCAGTCATCTTCAACAGCTGCAGCATTTAAGAAGCAGACTTTCTAAGTATCACGGGAAACTTTATTGGGTAATGTTGCACAAGATTCCTTTGCATTTCCGCTTATGACAATACATGAAAACTATTACGCACTTTGCTAACGTACATACTGTTACCAAAACTGGGACTAACTGAGGAAAGTCAAATTCTAAGCCTGGGTTGTCCTTCAAATTGACTCGAGACTTAATTCCTTTTCCTTGTTCTTCTGCGCTGCACAAAATAATCATTATAATCAATTTGGGACAGACCGTGTGTATACTCCAATTCAGAAATCATTTTTAAAGAAGTTGGAAACAAAACTCTGGAGCCTACAGATTAATGAAATAGTTAATTTGCAGTATGTTTGGCAAACGCTTCTGGAGTGATTATCAACGAACATTTTAAAATTAATTTGAAGCTCGATGCTGCTGTTGTTGTCTTGCCCATGTATTTCATGGAAGAATAGTTGTCAGAACTTCAAGGAGGTTGGACTTCTATTTTCCATTTATTTACTTTTAACTGTATTTTTGAGAAAGAGCACCGTTCGAGAGTTCCCACACCTTTCCCCTGCCACCAAACTACAGGAGAAGACTATCTCGATGTTAACTGTATTATACTAATATTATACTAATGTTGTTAGTTATGGTAAAGCATTCGACATTTGGTCAAGCAATGGGAGAGGGGCTAAGACCGCTGAACAGTGGTAGCTCGATCAGCTTTCGGATTCTGGCGAAAGGTTTGGCTGCAAGAGTGTTTACGTGATTTACCCGATGTATAATGTAAAATGGCAGCAACATAGACAATTTGAAAACTTGTTTTATAATTGTTGTTTTGGCAGTATTTTTCCAAGATCAAAAATTGTTTGTTTTCCATTTCAGATTTTAAAAGAATTATATAAGTAAAATAATGTATGTCAAACTTTCGTGAAAAGGTTGGCTCACGTGAAAGGTTCGTGAAAGGCTGTTTTATAATTTTTGTTTTGGTAGCATTTTTCAAGATCAAAAGTTGTTTGTTTTCCATTTCAAATTTTAAAAGATTTATGTAAGTAAAATAATTTATGTCAAACTTTCATGAATTCATTTTAAAATTTAAATTTTCGTCAGTCAAAGTTATTCAAAGATGACGGCTGCTATATTAATATTGTTTTCTAAAGTAAGAATTAATTAACGCTTGGGGTTTGGGAAAAAGAAACCCTTCAGTCTGAAAATCTACAAAAATCTCTCACAGATAGTTAAAAAAATAATCATTTGAACGCATTTCAGAATTATTGCATCGATACGAAGCTTTAAAATGCATATACTGTTTAATATATATAGCTTTCTGAATAAAAGTGGAACATTTATTTGCAGCGGATATTTTGTAAGGATTATGTTAATTTTATTAACAGTTAAATTTTGAGCTAAACTTCTTTCCTGTCAAATTCTTAACTTCAACTTACTACTTCCGGGCAGAACGCAGTTTTAGATTCATGTCTGAATACATAATGAGGAGGAGCGGTTTTTAACCGCGAAGTTCTGCTTGCTGAGTTACAGAGAATCAGAGTTTCTGATTAGCGCTCGTCCGCCGTTTTGGCTACTCTCTCCCAAAGCTGTTATTACCCTCGGCTGTACTCAGGCCTTTGATAGCTTCGCAGTCAATTAACTTTAAGGAGCCAACTTGGTTAGAATCTTGATAGCTTCAGCTATATCTCTTTAAATTAGTTTCAGTTTACTTCTTAGCCTCTTAAGTTCAAGCCCAAGTGTCGGCTTTTATTTTACACTCCAAGACGGAGTTCTGTCAAACCTTATTTGAATAATAAAGGGTTATTTGCCTTTCCATCTTGTTGTTTCTTGTCCCACGAACTCAGGCGATTATTCGTTTATCAGTTCTTAAGATTCTTTACGTTCAACAGCAACTTAGCCTTTACAAAGTAGAGAATTATACAATTTTATGATATTGTATTAAATTACAATGCATTTTAAATAAAATCTGTATACCTAAATGTCGCAAGAATATGCATGGAAAGACTAACTTACGATTATTATATACAGTGTTGTCTAAAGCTTTAAAACAGAGTTCATATAACTCAGTTCTATCTAAGGGTCAAAACTAAGTGAAACAGGAAGTTTTAGATCTAAAAACTGTCAGAATCACAGTGCTTCAAAAATGCCTACAACTAATGTGTGCATATCCTTGATAAAGACATAAATGCCGGATGAAAATTTACTTCTATTAAATACCTATATGTGAAAACTTGATATACGCGAAATTTCCAATATAGTTTCGACAAAGAAATGATCACAATATTTAATAACTGAAAACTTCATTTCTCAAAGTCCACTGACATTTGAAAAATTAAATAGGGAAAATTGATTCTGGGACGAAATAGAAATATTTCATTCCATAAAATAATAAGCAAATTCCCATTCCGTAATTTTTCTTAATAAGATGAACCGAGTAAATCGTTCCAGATTTAATTGTATATATTGTATGTATTGAAATTCGTGCTACATGTGGGGAAAAACGGGATCATATAAAGGGGAAAATAATCATAATTTGTATTTTTCACTTGGAATAATGTCAACACAATATGACTTTTAAATATCCATTAGAATTTCCTTCATTTCTGAATAAAAGTTCCATAATTTCAAAATATTATTTTAAGACTTTAAAGTGTTATTTTATGGTGGTTTGTTAATTACTATACAACGTATTGTATGCAGTTTTTGCATTAATAGTCACTTAAAGAAGACAATTAATTATTGCATATCAACGTGCGGAAACAAGTGTTTGCTGTGTTTTGTCAAGTAACGAATACCTTGAATAATGTCAAGATTTTATGAGAATGAATAAAAAGAGAAATGAAGCGAATTTGTCAATAAATCAAGCTTTCAAGTTTGAATACAACAAAAGAACAGTATTTTTTTATGAACTAAGTGCGTGACTTCAAACAGATATTTCTGCGACTGGTCCTTGAAAGACGCATTCCTTGCACTCACTTAGATAGGAATAGGGATAAAATGTAATGAAGAAACAGAAAAAAGGGAAAGCGAAACCGTTATCAAAGAGATATAAAAATAATTTATATTTTCTGGGAAAGTTCTACTCTTATTTCCATGGAAGAAAATACTACTCTGAGAAATAAAACTTTTTTATCGATCACATGATACAAAAGAGTTTTTTTTTTTTTCATTGAATCTCATCTGTTTTAACTAAAGAGAGAAAGAATGAAAAAATGTTTAGAAATTTGTAAATCTTTGTAATTTTATATACATTTTATAAATTTTTTGTCATCTTAATGGAAATATTTTTAAGCCATATTTACAAAAAATTCCTTTTTGTAAAATCAAGTTTCAAAGAAATGCATATGTACTCACATTTTCAAAATTTCAATTTTTTTTTTATTAAATATGCAGAGTGAATTTGCTTGCTTAGACTCAGCAATATCCCCCGAGGCTCGCACAACGTTTTTGAGAACTAAGACAATGGAATTGTC